CCAGGTGGACTGGCCAGTTATCCGGCAATAAAAGCAACAAGGGAAGAGGGGAGCTGAGGCACTGCTCTCTTCTGACGAGTACAGACTGTTTGGACAACTCATAGGATGGGTTATATGAATCAAGACCAGCACCGTCTGCATGATCTTCCAACACACAAACCCAGAACAAGTGACCCAACCTCTATCCAGATGTTACACAATCATGCTGATTGGGTCTTGCATGCCAATGTACAAGTGTTGCCAGAAGCTGGTCAGAGGCCCGTGCAAACCCAGCAAGTCAGGATGCAGGGACTTGGACTTGTCTCATGAAAGTAAAGGGGAAAGCACTATAATGCTTGGACCCCAATCCATCCATAAAGTCAGCTCTAGCCTAGCAACATGAATACCCACCAATACCAAAGCTAACCTCAACAGCTATGCCTTGTTTGGCTTCCTTGAAGAACTGACCCAATTTTAATTGTGAACTACATGTGAATGCAGGGCTTTTGGAGGGGAAGGACACAAGGATGAGAAAACCGAGGTCTGCAGAAGGATTTATGTGACAGGCAGGAGCATTGGCTGGCTGGTTTACTGACATTTCCAGAAGAAAAGATGCAGTGACTTTTAGCAGCTCTGCACTCCCCCCGCAATCTTGTGAGGCATTGCCCAGCCCCAGTGGCTGGCTGACAGAACTCCTATAGGCATCCAAGTGGCTGCTTTTGCTGGATGCAACTATACATTAAAAAAAAAAAACCAACCCACAACCAAACACCAACCCAGCAGCCAGAGCTTTTAATTGCTAAAACTAGCATATTAAAAGAGAAGAGGGTTTCTTTTATACAGCTGGATTAATTCTTTAGTCCTACAATAGGATTAATGAGTGACCGGGACATTTCTAACTATACACTAAACCAAATCATTTCAACACACAAAAGATGTGCCCTGGACATTTAAAAAGAGAAGATGCAATCAAGAAGACGGGAGCTTGCAGGCCAGAAAAGCACATACATTGTATGTGAGAAACCATGAAGATCCACCAGCAGGATCTGCTCTTGCTAAAGAGACTTCTTTATATTATGGTGGTGTGATGTATACTTCAGAGATTACCAGAGGTGTTTTCAATGATGCCAAATGCTTTACTTAGCTCAAATCTACTTCCCGGAGGAAGAGTTATTACTAGTCTTGAACAGTTATTTACAGAAAGATTTTTTTGGTTCTTTTTTTCTTTTTCTAAACTTTCCATTTTGTCAACAAGGCACTAACTTACTGCATCAGGACACTTCTGCTGTGATGTGTTTATCTCATGCTATCATCATGATGACATGCCACAGACTCATGTCAGATGGCAACACAGGTGCTGTGTTGCAACATCTTTCACCAAAGCAATAAAGCCTCAAGGGAGAAGCCCAGTCTCTACAGTAACGCAATGCTGTTACAAGCAATTGTTGGTGTAACAGAACTCCTATAGGCATCCAAGTGGCTGCTTTTGCTGGATGCAACTATACATTAAAAAAAAAAAAACCAACCCACAACCAAACACCAACCCAGCAGCCAGAGCTTTTAATTGCAGAGCTTTTAATTCTTTTTAATAAAAGCCAGAGCTTTTAATTTAGCTAATGCTAAAATTTTTAGTTTTAATTTTAACCTCTGACTACAGGTTCTTGGTCCAGAGACGAGTGGCACAAGGATCACCAGGTCTGAAGTGGGAGGCTGCTCAGAACATTTCCTACGAACAGGCAAGTGCTGCCAGTGGTTGGAAATGCACAAAGCAAAACACTGTGTGTCCCATCACACTCTGTCCGAACCTAGGATTGCTGATACGGGTGTCCCTGCCCTACCGCTGACTTTACAGTTACATCTGAGATTAAGAAACAAGCCTGGAAAAACTGCTGGCAGTTGAAACAGCCCCTGTGGCCTCGAAGAGACCAGGCTCCTCAATCCAAGTCTTCACTGTTACTGTAACGTGACACTGGAGTGCGATAGCACAGGAGGCACTGGTAACAGCGAATCGGGTGAAGTGGATACTCTAAGCTAGCCAGGCACACCCCCGCGCAGGAGAGGAGCTTGAGATTCACAACCACCAAAGACAAGAATAGTCATTGCAGACAGACCTTCACCAGCAAGCATGGCCCAAGCTGTAGTGTTGAAACATGAGTAAAGCAGACTCTTGGGGACCAGCAGCATGACTGTGTCTTTCTGCACTGACAAATATGTTCTTTGCTCTTCAGCAAAGCAACAGGCAGGCTAACGCTGCTTTTAGCAGGCTTCTCAGTATTTTTATTGTTGTACAGCATATAGACGAACACTTTGTCACAGAGGAAGATGCAAGACTTCACTCCACCAACTCTACTAGGCCTACTGCTCCCACATCCTTCCTACAGCGTTAGATTTCTGAGGCATGGCACATCTTTGCTAAGCACGTCTTCTGAGCCTGGATAGTAATGCATTTGCAATTCATTTCTGCCCAACTTGCAACAGGTGCAGAAATTACTTCTGTGTGTCCTTAATACAACCCTCTTCTATTCTTACTTTAAGCAGCTTTGCAGTGCACCAATACTTAGGTGAAATCTGTGCTCCCTCAAAAGCCCAATTGCCTGTGAGTTGCACAGGGCTTTACAGTAAGAAAAGAAGGGGTTCAGCTGCTCCCAAGAAGCATCTGGGGCACTGTGTGCACATCTGCAAGCACAGGTCATGCTGATATACTTGCTCCTTTTTGCACGGGGGTGTTAAGGTTTCCAACTGAATGATGGTTTGGTGGCAGAAATGAATGCATTACTGTAATCCATTAAATGCAAAGTGTCCCTCTAACCCTAACAACGTTCAAAAGCAAACGGAGGAACAGAACAGTGACTCCAACCCCTGTACAAGACAACTGTACAATTTACATATATATTTATATACAGTATATAAAATTCTCTTTCTTTGAGTCCCAGTGAACTCAATTTTACGTCATCAGTAGCTGTTCCAATTTTAAAAAGTCACAATCCTGCTTACTCCCACTCTCCAAAGTATTAGATAATGGCATTGAAAAGCAATTAAGAACAAACCCAAACCAATTATTAAAAAGTGCAAATGTTCTGGGTGCCACTTCTGCTACGTTGGATGTTGCTGATGCTGCATGCTTGCTCACAAGCAGCAAGGTGTCTGTCCATCTGTTGCTAGATCTTTCTTTCTTTTGGGTCGGCTCCTGCCTTCCCTTCCTGTCTTCTGCTGTTACACCAGGCGACCTACTGAAAGGATGGGGTGGGAAAGGATGAAAAAAAAAAAAACAAAACAGAAGCAGAGAAAAATGAGGAAAAAAGGCAAATTAAAACCAAAAGGGCACCTGACTGATAAAGATACAGTACAGCCTCTGCTGCAGCCACGGCCCCAGAAGGCTGAGATCCCAGAGTAAGCTGTGAGGCTGAAAACAATCAGGAGCTAATGAGACAGCCTTGCTGAAAAAAGCATTGAATGAGTCACACAGAGCCCTAGGGACCGACGTATTTTTAAACATAAACCACTACTTTCCTCTCCATCCCCCTCCTTGGAAATGGGCATGCAGTCTGGGCAAACAACTGGTCCAGCATCTCTCCCTCTGCTCTTCTGCCTGCCACGGCTGATAGGGAAGCCCGCTGCTGCCAGGCTGCCCTGCCACCATCTCCCCCGTGAGCTGCAGCCAGCTGTCTCCTTGCCTAGCAGGCAAGCAGGCCTCCAAGGAGGCAGGCATGCAGGGCAAGGGCAAGCCACCTCTCCCCACCTCTGCAACAGCACAATGCAGCAGTCTCCCTGTTCAATGGTTCTCAGAGACCTTGCCTGCATCAGGCGCTCTGAAGCCTACCAAGTTACTGAATCGGCGGCAAGGATACAGTGTACTTGGAGCTGGGGGTCCCAGGACCCTGCTGGGCTATTAGTGTTCCAGTGGATGATGCAAGGGTGCTGCTTAGTGAGCCAGATGGGCACGCACACCCCTGCACTTGTTTCTTCAGAAAGCTTTTGTTAAGCCCCTCATCAAAGGTTCTTAAAGAATCAAAGCTCTTACAAGATCAGAGCAGGAGCTCTGTGGATTAATTACAGGTGAAAACATAGTGAAGAGAAGGCAGAGGTATGGATTTGGTTTTCAGAAAGGAGAAAGGTTACTAGACAGGCCTCACTGCAATTGGTGCTAGTCAACATGCCCTGCCACGGGGGGTGAATATTGTCAAATGCAAAATTATTCCAGATAGGCGTATTTGAAATTGACTGCACAGCTCTGCAAAAGGCACTCACAGTGCTCAATGACCAGCTCATAAAAACAGCGGACTGACTTCAATGTCTATACACGCAATGCAGTGCGTGAGTGGGGAGCAGGGATGACCTGTCCTACACTAAGCACTCTGAGTGACTAGGAAGGAGGTTGAAGCCACAGTACACAATTTTTTGAATGCCTCCACTCAGCTTTTAGCAGCAGACAAAAATCAAATACATGCTCAGAACTGAGGACACACCAGGAAACATCACTACATAAATGTATAAGGCTTAGCTGATCTTTATCTTCAGTTCTCTGTTCAGCCCATCTCATCAGGACCAGAGAAGGTACCCAGAAAGGTAAGGAGGATAGCAAGAGGTATGGGAAGACTTCTGTCACTAAGCAAATACATAGCCTATGTCTTTTCAACACAGAAAGGAGTCTAACCAGACATATATTAGAGGGCGATAGAACAAGTGGCAGGAGAAAGATAGGCAGGGGAGAACTGCTCACTGTTTCTCACAATCCAAAATGAGAAGCACCCAATGAAACCATGAGAGTGTTCATCCCATAGCTGCTGTATCCTGTTCTAATTCCTTAGCAATGTACTGTCTGCCCCAGCTGAAGACACAGTGCTGGACTTCGAGATGATGCAGCTGAGCTGCGTGTTATTATATTCACACCTCCTATGAACAACTTTGGCTTCCAGCTGTTTCTATATTGATATTTGTGAACATAGGAGAGCAGGGGAGAATGAATTTTGGGACACGTGGTTATCACAGAAAAAAAGGAAACATTTTGACAAGATACTCACTGAAAGGGTTAAGGTCTTGCCTTTTTCCATTGGGGAAACTGCTCAGGCTACCTGTAAAATCCAAGAACCATATTAAAGGCAATAAATGCCGTGGCATGACAAAGGAGTCTCCCCACTGTCTGCTGCTGGAGGGCACGTCCAAAGGAGCTCCTGAGTGTGCACAGAGCAAGTCCTGCCAGCACTCCTTAAGATTCACATGCAAGAATCAGACTAATGTGCTTGAGATGAGAGAGGTTGAATACCTGGTGTTGTAGCATCTGAACATCATGAAATCCAGAGGGCAAGAAGCAACAATTACAAGGTTAAACTAAACTGTGGAAGGAGGAAGAAGAAGAAAGGAAGGATGCAAGCAGTGCCATGAAGTTTCCCAAAACTGTTTTTGCTAAGAGCAAGCAAAATAACGTCACGTTATAGAGGGCAGCCAGAACAGTGAAGGTGTAAGCAATACAGATAGCCCAAGTTTACTAAATCTTTAGCTTGGACCAAACAACCAAACAGGTGCCTAAAATCAAAGACCTGAACTCATACCTGGCAGAAGGGCAGGGACAGACTGCAGAGCTGTGACTGCATCATGAGGCACACACACCCTACTCATGGAGCTCATGACAAGGGCTCTCACCTCAACAATAAACCTGTTCCTACGACGTGCTGGGTACAAACAGCTCAGGGATTACAGGAGCTCTCAAAAGCATGTTACATTTCCTGCTAGCTGCTTGGTCTGATTTCAGATGAGGGATTATAGCTGGAAACGGGAACTCCTGCTCCCAGCCAGAAGCAGTAAGCCTGCTGCCACCCTCCACTCCGGCGCAGCCTAAGACTTATCTTTGATTTGTGCGTGCATCTGACCTGATTGCACAGCTTGCTTTGCACACTCACAGCTAAAGCAAACTTAGCTCTGTGCAAGAGCAAGATAAGCAGAAGTTCAGAGAGCAGGGGCGGGACTGGGGAACCCCCGGGGGACGGTAGGCTGGGCTGCAAGACAGAAGCGGAACCACTGGGAAAGAAAAGGGAGAGGGAAAGAAAAGAGAGAGGGAAAGAAAAGAGAGAGGGAAAGAAAGGTGGCAGTGGCTGAGTTTGAAATGGGTTGCAAAGCACAACCTGTTGGTTGTAGAGATCCTTAATAAGAGAAACTGTATAAACATGGTAAGTTATTTCAAGGCCCCCAAACGCCGGCCTCGTATCGGCCATCTGCCCTGGTGAGATCAGAGGAACCGTTGTTGTTCACTTATTTCTGTGCCCAGGTATAAAAAGCAGAGGGCTGTTGCCAAGAGGTAGATTCCTCCAGAGCTAATTGGGACTCTCCCGGGGGCCTGGCAGTAAAAA